TGTTGGTAGGCACTTGGGCTGTTTCCATATATTTGCTGTTGTGAATGATGCTGCAGTAAATGTGGGTGTGCATATAGCTGTATATGGTATATTCTCCACAGTGGGATAGCTGGGTCAAATGGTATTTTTATTTCCAACCTTTTTTCCCTTTTTAAAAAAGTGGTTTGCAAATTATCATTCATATGCATCACGTTTTGTACATTTATGCTTTGTTTTATAAAATAATTCATATCCATTGTATTTTATATAGTTATATTGTTCTAAGCCTGTCATCACCTCACATTTTCAAGCCCCCATTGGACCTATCCTATTACTTCACCCCTCTCCTCCCGCTAACCTCTGCTATCCCAGTGATTTTGTCCCTCCTTTTTCTGCCCCCTTCTTTCCTTTCCTTGAGCTCATTTATGAACATCTTACTCATTTACCCTTCTATGTTCATAATAGTGGCCTTATGCAATATTTGTCTTCTTGTGACTGAGATATTTCACTCAGCAAAATGTTTTCTAGTCTTCCTCAAGTTATATAGTGGTTTATGACATCGTTATTCCTCAGTGCTTCATAATAGTCCGTTGTATGAATGTACACAATTTCTCAACTCATTTGATTGTTGTTAGGCATTTGGGCTGATTCCATTTTTTTGCTATTTTGAATAATTCTGCTGTGAACACAGGTGTACACATGTACATGTGTGTCTCAATTCTGATTTCCTTGGGATATATTCCTATCAGTGGAATAGTTCAGTCATGTGTGATATCTATGTTCAGCTTGCTAAATAAACAACAAACTGCCTTCTAGAGTGGTTGTGCCATTTTGCAATCCCACCAGCAGTGTGTAAGAGTTCCAGTCTCTCCACATCCTTTCCAACATTTATGATTTGCTGTGTTGTTAAACTCTGCTGCTGGGATTATTATTGTTTTGCTTAGCATTTTTTCTAATTGCTAGTGATTTTGAACATTTCCTCATGTGTTTCTTCACCATCCAGAGGTCTTCCTTTGAAGAGTCTTTTGTTCATTTTTTATTTGTTATCAGTTTTTTTTTCTTGTGGAGGCCCTGTAACATTCTGTAAACTTTGGTTATGAGACTGTAATCTGAAATGTTTTTGCCAAATATTTCCTCCAGATCTGTGGGTTTTCTTTTTAATCTACTGGAGTTTCGGGTCTGATACACACAGGGAACAGGGATTTGAACTTAAGGAAGTCCCATTCATCAGTCTTTTCCTGGTTGTGCATTTTTGGCTATATTTACAAACCCGTTTATTCTGTAGGACAGGGCTTCTAATTTGTTCCCGTTTTGTCTCTTAATGATGTTTATGGTTTGGGGTTTTACTCCTCGGTCTCTGATACTCTTTATTTTGTTTTTGTGTATAGTGTGAGAGAGAGAGATTCTGTTTCAGTTTTCTGCAGGCAGATGTCCAGTTTTGTCAGCACCATTTGTTAAAGATGTTATCATTTATCCCCACTTGATTGAATTTATTACCTTGTCAAATACTAGTTGACCATAGGTTAATAGGTTGATTTCTGTATTCTCTGTTCTCTTCCATTCATCTATATGTCACTGTACCAAAACCATCATCTCTTGATTACTACAGCTATGTAATAGGTTTTGAGATTTTTTTCTTTTTCTCTCATGTCATTTACATATAATGACAGTTTCACCACTTCTTTGCAGATTTGAATGCCTCTTATTTCCTTTTCTTGCCTTATAGAGCTGGCTAGAATTTCCAATACAATATTAAATAGGGATAGCGATAGTAGGTATCCTTGTCTGGTCACTGTTTACAAGGGAAATGTCATTAGTCTCTCTCTGTTAGAAATTATCTTTACTCTTGGTTTTGTGAATATATTTTCACAATGTTGAGGATATTACCCTTTATTTTGCTAAATGTTTTCATCAGGAATGAGTATTGTTGGATTTTATTGGTGGGGTTTTCTGCATCAATTGACAGGATTATGTGATTCTTCTTATTTGCATTGAAATGTGATTAATTACATTGCCATGAGTGGAGTTTTTTATGTTGAACTATCTTTACATTGCTTTTATGAATCCCATTTGGTCATGAATAATTATTTTTATATGCTGTTGGATTCCATTGGCTAGTATTTTATTAAGGATTTTTTGCATTGATGTTCATGAGAGATAATTGATGTATAGTTTTCTTATTTGGAGATGTCTTTGTCTGGTTTGGGGATTAGGATATTCTTTACCAATTGCCTTATACAATGACTCTTGGAGTGTTCCTTCTTTTTCTGTTTTTAAAAATAATTTAAACAAGATTGATTGGCAAGAGTTCATCTCTGAATGTTTGGTAGAACTCCCCTTGTAAAGCCATCTGAGTCCAAACTTTTGGGGAGAGGGAGTCTTTTTAGACAGAAAAAAATTTACCCGTTTGAGCTCTAGTGTTGGAGAAGAACACTGAACACATAGACATCCAAGAGAACATATAGATATGTCTTGGAGAGGGCGCTGCTCTATCCATTTGTTTGTTGATGGGCACTTGGGTTGTTTCCATCTCTTTATTTGTTATTGTGAAAAATACAGCAATAAACATAGGTGTGCATATATCTGTTTGGGTGGCAGTTCTGGTTTCTTTAAAGTATATTCCCAGTAGTGGAATTGTTGGGTCAAATGGTATTTCTATTTGCAGCTTTTTGAAAAAACACCATACTGCCTTCCATAGTGGTTGCACCATTTTACATTCCCACCAACAGTGAATAAGGGTTCCAGTTTCTCCACAACCTCGCCACCATTTGCTATTTGCTGTTATATTAAATTTTGCTATTCTTACTGGGGTAAGATGATATCACATAGATGTTTTGATCTGCATCTCTCTTAGAGCTAGGGGTTTCTTCATTTGTTTCTTGGCCATCTGAATGTCTTCTTTGGTGAAGTTTCTGTTTACATCCTGTGCCCATTTTTCAATTGGGTTGTTTACCTTTATCTTGTTGGATGCTCAAATATTTTATAAATTCTAGATAAAAGTCCCTTATTTGACATGTCATTACCAAATATTTTTCCCAGTTGGTGGCTTCCCTTTTTACCCTGTTGGAGAAGGTTTTGGATGTGTATAGGAATTTTATTCTTAAAAGGTCCCATTTTAACAGACACTTCACCAAAGAAAACATTCAGATGGCCAACAAGCACATGAAGAAATGTTCAAAATCCCTAGCACTAAGAGAGATGCAAATCAGAACAACTATGAGATATCATCTCACTCCAGTCAGAATAGCAAAACTTAACAGAACAGCAAGCAACAAATGCTGGTGAGGTTGTGGAGAAACTGGAACCCTTATTCACTGTTGGTGAGAGTGTAAAATGGTGCAACCACTGTGGAAGGCGGTATGGTGCTTTCTCAAAAAGTTGCAAATAGAGATACCATTTGATCCAGCAATTCCACTACTGGGAATATACCCCAAAGAAACCATAACTGACATCGAAGCAGATATATGCACACCCGTGTTCATCGCGGCTTTGTTCACAATAGCAAGGAGTTGGAAACAACCTAAGTGCCCATCAAAAAATGAATGGCTAGAGAAGCTGTGGTATATTCACACAATGGAATACTATGCTGCACTAAAAAACAAGGAACTCATGAAATATTATTCAAAATGGGTGACTCTGGAGGACATTATGCTGAGTGAAGTATTTCAGTCACCAAAGGACAAATACTGCATGGTGCCACTGTTGTAAAACAGGACTGGCCTTGGGGTTAGGGTGAGACTAAGAAAGATGGGTTCAATAATGTATACTGCATTAAAACAGATGAAGGAGAAAACGGTTTAAAAGGGATATGTGATTAGGTATTTTTGTCATGACAGGAGTCTAGAGTGAAGGCTACATGGTGGAGTGGACCTGGGGGAGGGTTTGTAAAACAATGAATTTTTCTTTTACTTTTCCAAGAGGGTAATGTACTAGGGGGGAGGGTTGGGAGGGGAGAAATGTGCAACAATGAATGAATGGAAATCCAAAGTCTCTGTAAATTTTTACGGAAATTAGTAATAAATTTAAATGGGGGGAAAAAGGAGTATATATTATTGGAGTATATGCCAATAAATTTGAAAGCCTAGACATAAATAGATGAATCTGTTTCTAGATTCTCAATTCTGTTCCATTGGTCTGTGGGCCTATTATTGTACCAGTACCATGCTGTTTTGGTTACTATCACTGGATAGTAAGTTTTGAGGACCTCCCACTTCATTTTTGTTTTTCAGAAGTTCTTATTCAGGGTCTCTTTCCTCTCCAAATAAACTTGACAGTTTCTCTTTCTGCTTAGGTTTTTTGATCATTGATTTCTTCTTCTTTGAGAATTAAGTGAAGTCAGTGTTGGAGGGTGTGAACCCAGGGTGCTCTAGAGAGGCAAGGATGGTGTCAGTCCTTGGAGAAATAGAGGGTCAGAGAAAGAAAGGAAGAACTAACAAGATTGGTTGATCTAGTGACTGTAACATGTTAAAGGTGGTAAGGTACAGAGTCCAGATCTGTTGTTTATTGGGTTGTAGTGACAGTGGTGTGTACCAGTAAAAAATAAGAGGTTTGATAGAAAAACCTCACATAACAATATAAATGTTTATTTCTCATGTGAATATCTGAGTGATACAAAACGTTAATGTTCTTGACTGTTAATCAAAGGGTTGAGAGTTCAGGCTCACTCAGAAGTACTTTAGAAGACGGATTTGGCAGTCTGCTTCCCAGTCAGCCTTACGTCCCTCTGGGCACAGTTGTGCACTGACCCGTGGGGGTCACTGTTACTCAGAGCTGACTTGTTTGGGGGGATGTGTTGTGAGTGTCATAGGTGAAAATTGGGATATTCCTGAAAGTACAGGCAGGGATTTTCCTGAGCTTGTAGAGCTGAAAATGAAGTCCCAGTTCAAGGAATTAGACTGTGCAGAGGGCCGGCAGTGAAGGGAGCCTTTCAAACCCAGCTCTTGTCTCCAGCTGTTTCTCACACCATCCTTGTCATCAAAGGTTGAAATTCAGCACATTAACCTGGGCTTCACCCCACTTAGGTTCTCAGAGACGGAGACTCATCCCAGCACTGTCCCTGGACACCTCCTCGCCAGTGAGGAAGCCCACCAGCAGCACTGGGGTCCGCTGGGTAGACGGTCCCCTGCGGAGCACCCCGAGGGGCCTCGGGGAACCATTTGAGATTAAAGTCTACGAAATTGATGATGTGGAGCGACTACAGCAGCGCCGAGGGGCCTCTAGCAAGGTGAGGTGGTCCTGTTCCCACTGCGTGGCATCTGCGTGGCAGGTGTGGGGCAGGGATTGAGGGGATACCTCAGGCTGTGAGATGCAGCCACTAGGCTTCATGTCGTGAGGGGCAGGGAGGACTCACAGAGGGCTTTCTCTGGGTAGATGTAATAAAAGCTTCAAGGAAGGAGACTGCATAGTTGTGTCTCTTGAGGCCTCACACCAAGTATTTGTGCAGGCCAGTACACCTCTGCATTCTGTTAAGGCAGGCCTGTCCAGGCAGAGGTGAGGTCCTCAGATTCCACCAGGCACCCGCAGGCCTGCTTCCTGCCTACATTATCTGGTGGGAAACCCTCCCTGTCTCTAAGAAAGGTAGGAACTTTTCTTTCCAGGAGCATGTTGGCCCCTGCAGCACTGACGGTCACGTTTTCCTTCCCCTCCTGTCCCCGCTGTCTCTGCACCAGGAACTCGTGTGCTTCAATGCAAAACTGAAGATCCTAGAGCACCGCCAACAGAGGATCGCCGAGGTCCGCGCCAAGTATGAGTGGCTGATGAAGGAGCTGGAGATGACCAAGCAGTACCTGATGCTGGACCCCAACAAGTGGCTGAGTGAATGTAAGACCCATAACTACAATTAGAACTAGACCATTTCAGAGCAGACCATGTTCATCCAATGGGATGGTGGTAGTTCTGTGTACAGTTGAGTGAGAATCGACTCCTAGCTGACTCTCCAGCAGGTTTTAAGAGGCAGTAAATAGCATACTGTGGTACATACAATATTGGCCATTTTTCTCTTTCAGAGCAGCTGGTGGATTAGAACCATGTATCTTTGGGTTGGCAGCATAATTCCTTATCACTAAGCAACTAGAATGTATGTTGAATGATTTTTTCATCAGAAATACTTTAAAAGAATACAAAACACATATTTACACATTCCTCTCATCTGATGGACTGCACAAGAATCAGGTTGACTACATCTGTGGAAAGAATCACTGGAAAAGCTCAATATTGGGCCAGGTGTTGACGGTGGAACAGACCATCAAGTTACTCCTGTGCAAGTTCCATTTGAAGAAAATTAAAACAAGTCCACAAGGTCTAGGATATGACCTTGAGTCTAACCCACCTGAGTTTAAAAATCAAGAATAGGTTTGAAACATTGAAAACTAATGATTGAAGACCAGATGAGTTATAAGATATAAAAGATAACATCCATGTAGAGAGGAAAAGTTCATTACAAAGTGGAAGAAAAGGCCAAAATGAATGTCAGAAGAGACTGAAAATTGCCTTAGAACATCTAGAAGCCAAAACAAAGGGAAGAAATGCCAAAGTCAAAGAGATGAACACAAGATTACAAAATACAGCTTGAGAAGACAAAGCAAAATACTTTAACAGGATGTGCAAAGAACTGAAGTTGGAGAACAAAAAGGGAAGAACTTGCTCAGCATTTCTAAAGTTAAAAGGACTGAAAAGCAAATTCAAACCTTAAGTCATAATCCTGACAGTTATTATGGGCAAAATCTTGAATGAGCCAAGAAGCATCAAAAGAAGAAGGAAGGAATATGCAGTCACTGTTCCAAAAATAATTGATTGACACTGAAAATTTTCAGGAAATATCATATGAACAAGAGTTAAGTGTAATGAAGGAAAAAGTTCAAGCTGCACTGAAAGTCCTAGGAATCTATGAAATACAATTTGACATGTTTCAGCTGCCTGGAAGAGATCCATGTTTGTTCCCATTCCCAAGAAAGGTGATCCAACGCAAAATCATATGCAAGCAAAATACTGTGGAAGATCAGCCAAAAATAGCAAGACTGGTACAATTACAGAACTACCAGAATTTCAAGCTGAGTTTAGAAAAGGATATGGCATTAGAGAAATCATTGCTGATATCAGATAGATTGTAGCTAAAAGCAGAGAATGCCTAAAGAATGTCTATTTGTTTTTATTGCCTATGCAAAGACAGCTGACTGTGTGGATCATTACAAACTATAGCTAACATTGAGAAGAAAGGGAATCCCAGAACACTTAATTATGCTTATATGAGGGATGATAGGAGAATTGATGCCTTTGAGCTGTGATGCTGGAGAAGAGTAGTGAATATACTATGGACTGCTAGGGGAACAAACAGGTTCATCCTAGAGAGGGTTAAACCAGGCTGCTCCTTGGAGGCAAGGATACTGAAACTTCATCTGACATACTTTGGACATGTTGCAAGGAGGAACCAGTCCTCAGAGAGGGAGGTCATGCTTGGGAGGGTGGAGGGACAGCACAGGAGTGGAAGGCCCTCGATGAGATGGATTGACCCAGTGACTGGGGTAGTGGGGATAGATATGTCAGAAACAATGAGATTGGCACAGGATAGATCAGGATTTAGAGCTTCTGTGCCAAGGGTCACTATGCATCACAGAGAACTCAATGGCACATAACAACTAAATAACAAATAGGGTACCTATACCAAGCAGCTATTGTCTAAACAGAGCAAGGAATACAACAAGATTAAAATCAGTAAAGTATGTCAGAGCTCTGTATGCTTTCTTCATGCCAGTTCAGGCTGTATTCTGAGCAAATCATTCAAGAAGCTGGCATTTTATGATAAAGAATGCAGCATCAGGATTGGAGGAAGACTCATCAACAACCTCTGTTATGCAGATGACACAACTTTGCTGCAGATCAAAAAACTACAACCTTTAACAATGGACTGCATCTCAACATCAAGAAGATAAAAATCTTCCCCACTGGACTAGTAAGCAACATGAGAGATGGAGAAAAGATTGAGATTGTCTCCAATTTTATCTTACTTGAATCCACAATCAATACCCAAAGTACCAGCAGTCAGGAGACATATTACATTGGAAAAGGTCTCTGACAGCAGACTTGCCCTAAGTGCTGAGGAGCGATGGTGTTAATTTGATGATTATGGTGCACCTGATTCAGGCCATGGTGTTTTCCATCATTTACTGTGCATCAGAGAGCCGGACAATGAGTAAGGATGAAGAAGGAGAGAATCAATACCTTTTAGCTGTGGTGCTGGTGAAGAGTACTGAATATCCCATAGACTGCTAAAAGAACAAATAGGTATGTCTTAGGAAGAGTGCTTCTTGGAGTCAAGGATGGCAAAGCTTCATCTCACATCCTTTGGGCATGTTACTCGGAGGTGCCAGTCCTGGAAAAGAGTGGACGGTCAGTGAAAGAGAAGGCCCTCAACAAGATAGATTGACAGCGTGACTACAGCTGTGGGCTCAGTGTGTCAGATATGCTGAGGAAGGTACAAGATCAGTTGTTCATAAGGTCACTTTGAGTTTAACTCGACAGCACCTAACAACAACAAAGCCAGATTGCACGTCTTGCTCCCCAAGTGCCCCATGGCCCATGTTGGTGAATCTTGCTCTCCTAACATGATTCTTCACATGTCTCTGTCCTGAGTGCATGAAAACAAGATTCTCCATCTGCTCCCCTCACATGGCTGAGATCATCCAGACATAAAGACCTTGTTACACGTTGCCCACCAAATCTCACTTGAAACAGATAAGAATTTATGCTGCCCTTAATGTGCAGTCCTTGGAAAGCTGCCCAAAGAAGCCAGAATCAGGAAAAGTATTTCAGAGTGGGGGGAAAATATGTCTGCAGTGTTATTCTCATCTAATGGCAAGCTGAAGATGACAGCCACTACCTAATACCAATTCAGGACAATTTTGCTGTCTCTGAAAGATGGATTCAATTGTGTGTCTATATTTGCTCCTAACCATTCCAATTACCACAAAATATAGCATGCATCTTGCCTGAGATATTACATTGGTGTGGAGACTAGTGCTGGAAGACGTGGGCAGTGCGGGATCCAATTCTTCCCTCTAGCCACATCCTCCTCCCTATGCTGCCTTGGTCCCCAAGCCCCACTCACACAGTAAGAAGCCACAGCTCGGGCCTGGCCAGGCAGTAGTCAGGGGAGCAGGGAGGGCAGAAGCTGGGCTTTTTAAAATCAGCTTGTCTGAGCTACACAGTAAGATGCATTCCTTTTCAATGTATAATTCCTCTCTGGTGGCCTAACAGTAAGGAGTTGCACTGCCAACCCTAAAGCGCTTGTTCATATCCACCATTTGCTGTGCGGGAGAAAGACAGTCTACCTCCATGGGATTAATTGCCTCTGAAAACCCACTGGAAGGTCAGCTATGAGTAGTTCCTAATGTGACAGCACACAGCCACAATCTAAGTGTAAAACAGTCAACACAAAAGGTGGTTTTGTCCTCCCCAGAAACTTCCTTGTGGGGTGCCCCTGGTTTTAATGAGCCCCTTTCCAGAACGACTTGTTTGAAAATACTGTGCTCATGTTTGGTGATGAAAAGCCTGAGAATAGATAATGGTGATGGGTGCACAGCGTGTGATGCAGCCCGTGTGCCTGAACTGTACACACATAGACGTACACACGTAGAAGGGCAGGTGTGTATTCTCTCTCTCCCACCCTCTCTCTCTCTCTCTTACCCTCTCTCTCACTCGCTCGCTCTCTCTCTCTCCTTTTCTCCCTCTCTTTCTCTCTGTCCCTCTCCCCCTCCCCCACTTGTCAGGCAACACTGGGTGCAAAGGAAAGTGAGAAATGGGTGCCCTGCCTCTTGCTCTGTCTGTGAGAGCGAGATAGAACCTTATGAGGTTTCTGTGCGCATCAGGTTTCTCTACCTGCTTAGTGAGGCAGATGCTTTGGCTGTGGAAATAATAACCCTTAGGCAAGCATTTACGCTGACGCAAAGGACCCTGAAATTAGTTCCCAAAAAACAAAAGATCTCCCTCAGGAACCCCCCCCCGCCTCAACTAGAAGGTTTATTTCATTTCTAGTTCTACTGAATGATAATACTAGTTGTTGTTATGTGCCGTCAAGTCACCTGCAACTCATAGCAACCCTATGTACAACAGCCTTAAACCCTTCTCTATCCTGTGCCAACCTCACTGTCTCCAACACACCCACCCCATTACCTCAGTCACTGAATCAATCCACCTCACAGAGGGTCTTCCCCTCCTGTGCTGTCCGTCCACCCTCCAAAGCATGACATCTTTCTTCAAGGACTGGTCACTCCTTGCAGTATGTCCAGAATTTGTCAGATGAAGTTTCACAATCCTTGTCTCCAAGGAGCAGCCTGGTTTAACCCTCTTCTGGATAAATCTGTTTGTTTTCTTAGGAGTCCATGGTATATTCAATACTCCAACACTACAGCTCAAAGGTATCAATTTTCCTTCTATCATCCCTAGTCATTGTCCAGCTCTGATACATAACAAGTGATTGCAAAGACCATGGCCCGTATCAGGCACGCCTTAATCTCCAGAGTGACACCATTGCTCTTCAGTACTTTGGAGGCATTCCCTAAAAGCAGACTTTCCCAATGCAATACATCTTTTAACTTCCTGGCTACTGGTGCCAAGAGTGTTGACTGTAGAGCCAAGCAAACTAAAGCTGTGAACAGTCTCAATCTCTTCACCATCCATCCTGATGCTGCCAATTGGTCCAGTGGTGAGAATCTTTTTTTCTTGATATTGAGCCTCAATCCATATTGAAGGCAGTAGTCCTTGACTTCTGCAGCAAGCACCTCAGGTCCTCCTCAGTTTCAGCAAGCAGGGTTGTGTCATCTGCATAACGCATATTGTTGATGAGTCTTTCCTCCAATCCTGATGCCACACTTCTCCTCATAGAGCCCAGCCTCCCGGATAATCTGTTCTGAATATAGACTGAAAAGGTATGGAGATAGGATGCATCCCTGGCGTACGCCCTTCCCAGTTTTGAACCACGCAGTGTTTTCTTGCTCTGTTCTGACGACTGCCTCCTGGTCCAAGTATAGGTTTCGCATTAGAACGATATCAAGTTTTCTGGGATTCCCATTCTTCTCAGAGTCAGCCACAGTTTGTTATGATCTACACAGTCAAATGCCTATGCATAGTCAATGAAGCACAGATAGACATTCCTCTGGTATTCCCTGCTTTCAGCCAAGATCCATCTAACATCACCTACAATGTCCCTAACTAACACCACGACCCCTTCTAAAGCCAGCCTGGACTTCTGGCAGTTCTCTGTTAAGGTGCTGTTCCAGTCGTTATTGGATGATGCTAGTAGTCTTTCCAAAATCTTATGGGGGAGCTAGCATGCCACCTTATGCCTGACTGTATACCAGAAAAACCCCTCTTGCCACTGAATTGAGTGAGCCTTGCTGCTACCCTGTAAGTCAGACTCGGGCTACCCTCCAGGGCGTCCTTGTTCTAGCTTATGGAAGGTGCAGACCACCCTGCTGGCAGCTGAGCACTTAACCACTGCGCCTCCAGAGCTCCTTTCCCTTCCATGTAGCCACAGCCAACGCCACTCTGCCTCGTGCAGCCTCATCTGTCAGGGTAGAACTCAGCTCCACACGGTTTACACTAGCTGTTCTTTAGACTCATACAACCAGATCTTTCTTCTAAGGCACCTTCTGGAGAGCCTCAGCTCTCCAGTCTTTCCGTTAGCAATAGACAAAAGCAATTTCAGAGAACACTCAGGGACTCCATCCTCTGTAGACTCTCAGTAAGGTTAGTAATTAACCAGGGAGCTCTGGTGGCCTCATGGTAAAGGAGATGTCCTTCTAGTCCAAAGACATAGCGTTCAAATCCGCCAGCTGCACCATGGAATAAGGATGGCCAATCTCCTTCTCTATGAGATTTACTACCTCTGAAAACTCGCTGGAGGGTCAGCTATGGGTCAGTTCCAACCCAACAGTGTTCAAAAACAAGATTATGGTAACAGAGGACCCACCAGTATAATTAAGAACATGAGTAGTCTACGGGGTGGGGGGTTAGTAAGAAGCTCTAGCGCTGCTGGAGGGTCCTTCATTTGCTCTGGTCCCATCCCGTGTCTCCTCTGTTGCAGTTGACTTGGAGCAGGTCTTGGAGCTGGATTCCCTGGAGTACCTGGAAGCGCTGGAGTGTGTGACGGAGCGCCTGGAGAGCCGGGTCAACTTCTGCAAGGCCCACCTCATGATGATCACCTGCTTTGACATCACCTCCAGGCGCCGATAAGGAGGGTGTGCCCTGCTGCCCACCTGCGCCCGGACCTCACAGGCCAGCCCTGCACCCGGCCTCCTGGTGGGCAGCACTCAGAGACACTAGAATGAGGATGAAGGTTGGTGGCAAGTCTGGAGCGAGCGCTGAGCAGAAAGGGTTTTCTTTTCTCTACGAAAAGGGCAAACAACAAACACACATGGAAGGAGAAGGTAGCTGGAAGCCCAAGGGCAGTCAAAGCCCGAGAGACTGAAAAAGCACTTTGAGGAACTTTAAAGAACTTGTTTGTACATAAGAACTGCTAGCAAGAGATCCCCCACCCTTCAGCTTTATGAGAAAGGGCGAGGGTGGGCGTTAGGAGCGAAACAAGATGACAGAAAAAAAAAATACCCAGAATGACTGATTAAGTGCCTTGCAAATCTTTATTATTATCCAAACATTTATGTTCATACTTTCTTGTGTACAGATGGTGCTAGTCACAATTAAAGCAACAACAAAACCAGCCAACCAACCAACCAACCAACTAAGAAATCCACACATGTTTTTTGCAAAGTATTTACAGCTCGTTTTGGTGCGTTAGCCTCTTCCTGACTTGCTGTTTCGAAGTACCTTGTGTTTGTAGAGACTTCCTGATCAGTATTGCATATGAATAAATGTTCACTGTAGTTATGGTTCTTCTGGTGAGGCCACGTGAACGGAGCATGGAGACTTGATGACACAAGCTGATTGTCCCCAAAGGTGACGCCTGATGCCACCCCCACAGAGAGCTGGGCTGGGGGCAGACAGCGCCCTGAGCAGGGAGGGGGTGTGGGCCCTAGAGAGTGGCAGGGGAGAAGGGGGCTCGCCACCTCCTGAAGGGAAACTGCATCCCTGAGGATGACCTTGGTGGCCAGGCTCTTCCTTCCCAGCTTCCACCCAGTCTTTATCTGTGTGCCGGTTCCTCTCTCCTCGCATCCAGGGCTTCCTTGGCCCTCAAACCCGCTTTCATGTTCATTTTGATCCCAAAGAGTTTTCATTGAAAACTTGAAGCATTCTGACAGAGCATACTTAGTTCTTTTCTAGTTTTGTTGACTGACACAAGGAATTTTCTCTGCTTTGCTAGCAGCTCAGACACGTGTGTGCCCAGAGAGTCCAGGGGACATTGGTTCACGGGGTCTTGAGATGCAAATGGAGCATGCTTCTCTGTCATACAGTGACACTGAGGAGCAAGGCATTCAGTCCACCCTCCATGGAACAAGGCATGGGGCTGCCACGCTCACTGGTCACCTCTTCCCCCAGAGAGTGCTGCGGCTCTGTGCAGGGCAATTTAAGCCTGTGGATGTCTGGGCCCTTTCGCTGTTAATGTCTAACAAGAAAACGCCCCCAGGCTGCACCATCCCCATGCTTGCTGGACGTTTGAGCCCATTGTGATTGTCAGCCCATCTCATCAACTGCACCTCATGGTCACTGACCCTCCACATGCAGCTCCCCAAGCCTGGTTTTCCCATTTGACTTACCAGTCCCCTCCTGGCAGCAGTGCCCTAAGGCCGTGTTGGAACCCAAGGAGAGTGTTAAGGAGCTTGCATAATAACCCTTGTGGAGCTGCAGCAGCAGCCTAGAGTCCGGGGGTCCCCTGTCTTCTAGGCCAGGGACACCTGCCCAGCCCGACCAGCCTGCTTATTGACATGTGCACAGAAGCACTGTTGATCTTTTCCTCACAGTTTTAGCAGATCTTCAGGAGAGCTGGTCCCTATTAACCAGCCCCCCCAACTTCCTATGGATGGTGAATTCCACAGCTCTCAGCACACAGACCTATCCCAGCCCTGGGATGTACTCAGTGACTCAGCACCAGGAGCCCACAGGTCTCCAGCACCAGCACCACAGTACCCACACCCCAGTAGTCGGTTCAGGGCACAGACTGTGCAGCCAGTTCGCTGCTTTCAGAGGCCAGCCCACAGACCAGACGCTGCTCCAGGGATCACAGGGCCTGACTGGCCCATCTGTGCACCTGTCTGTTGTTAGGTGCCATGGAGTCGAGTCTAACAAATAACGACCCTGTGAACAACAGACCTGACCCTTGTCCTATCCTGTGTCATCCTCACCACCCCGATACACTCCAGCCCCAGTGTTAGTTGCTGTGTCCTACCCATCTTGCTGAGGGACTTCGCTCCTTCTCAGACCCGCCACCTTTCCAAGGATGATGTCCTTTTCCAAGGCCTGGCCCCTCCTGACAATGCCCAAAATACAAGACAGAGTTTCATCATCCTTACCTCTAAGGAGCACACTCGCTGCACTTCCTCTAAGTGTTCTTTTGGCCATTCTTGGGATAGTCAGTGTTCTTCTCCAGAACCTCGATTTAAAGGCACCCCTTCTTCTGTCTTCCTCATTCCCCTGGTCATATGCAAAGGTGCACCCAGAAGGTAACACCGACATCTGCTAGTTCAAGGGACTAAAATATGACGAACAATCCCTCTACAATGTGTCCTCCAATCTCAGATGTGTCCTCCAAGGTTACAGGTGTGATATCCTAGCTCCTTAGCCCACAGCACACTCCCATATTTCTGGCCTCAGTTGAGTCTCCCAGCATGTGTGTGGGAGGGAAGCAATATTTCTGGAAGGTTCTGGTCCCCACGATGCCCATCTTTTGAGTCTCGGGTCACTGCCCCACATGCATGCCAGTCACTAGTTTAAAATAAAAGTCTTTACCACGGGGAATTTGATGGCACTTTCAAAGGAAAGAAGCTGATTTCATTTGGTAGCTGACTCACTTGATTGGGACCCAGGATGCTTAGCTCTTGCACCAGCCTCGAGCCGCTTGCCGTTCTTGGTTTCAGAGCAGTAAAAGAGAGCCAGAGACTACACACCTAGCCAGTGCTCCTTTCCTTAGGGAGATTCTTGCCTGACTCAAGCCTGCTTTTATATGTCATCAAAGGGGCATGTGAAGTCATTGTACCAAGTCAGCTGGGCTCAGCTGCCTTAACCAGAGAACAAGTACACAGGATTCTTTGGGTCATGGTTTTGGGGGACAGTTTGCATGCATGTCATCCATCCTGCCTGCTGCTTTTGACTGAAGTGAGCTGCAAACATCTTTACGTACCAAATGCTTATAAATCACGGCTTCCCTGTGACTGCTCCTTCTAGCTCTCCTTCCAGCTGAGCTGTACGTGCAAGTACCACAGCTCCGGTCCCCCTGCTGAAGAAGTCCAATCACAGAATTATGCCTCCTTACCATGGCCAGCAGTGACCGAGTTCTAGATTTTCTTTTCATTTCAGAAAAAATAGCTCAGCAAGGCCTTTAAAGAGGATGACAAGTAGCAAATTTCTAGAGTTGTTGTTGATTGTCATCAAGTCAAGCACGAATCACAGTGACCCTATGAACAAAAGGCTTGAAGCCTTTCTATAACTATTGTTATTTCTCTAAGTTCATACAGTTTCCAGAGGCATGTTGTTTATGAAGTGAATGTCACTCCTACTTCTAAAATTTCTAGAGTATAAGCCACAAATGGAAGAATCAGGCAAATGTTGGTTTAGGTGCAGAACTAATTCCTTGTCTGCAGTGTTGTTGCTTGCCATCGAGTAAGAACCGACTTACCACTGACCCTTCAGCGGGTTTTCAGAGGCTGTAAAATGCACAAGAGGAAATCATCCATCTCTCTCCTCGGAGCAGCTGGTGGATAATTTGAACCGAGTACTTTTGGGTTGGCTGTGCAGCTCCTTACCACTAGGCCACTACCATCCCTGTTGTTGTTGTTATGTGCCGTCGAGTCATTTGCGACTCATAGCGACCCTATGTACAACAGCCCTAAACCCTGCTCTATCCTGTGCCAATCACGCTGCCTCTGACACACCCATCCCGATTACCCCCTAAAATAGTAAATATTTCCTTTTGAGGTGGGAGCATGAGCAGTAGAGCAAAATTGAGACTCCAAACCAGAAAACAAGTGCGTGGTGATATTCTCTCCCCAGGAGTGAATCCAGGTTGCCTTTCACAGTGATGGTTCATCCTGTGAGGAAGCCGTTGGTTTCATTCTGACTGTCTAATTCCCACCTGGTAAAAGCAACCTTTGATGGGCTCGTCCTTGAATTCCCCTCCACATCCCAGGGAAGCTGTCTCTTAACTTTCATCTCTGCTCATTTGAAATCAGAACACCCTGTCCATTGTTTTATCTCCAGTTGCTATTCTGAACACGGGGAATGTTCAGAGCTGCAAATGCAAAGGTGGGTCCCTGAGCACACAGGTGACTTCAGACAAGGAGCACCATGGTGGCAGGTGGGGGTTCCTGTTCAAAGCCAGGATAAAAGGCCACACAGCCCAATTTGGGAATTTGGCAAGCTAAAACCAAACCCAGTTGTCATAAATTAACCATAAGCCTGATATGTCCCTGTGAGGTGGGCGGAATTCAGTTAATCACCTAGATGCCTCTACAAGATGGATTGACACAGTGATTTCAGCAAGTGTGTAAAAGATGATGAGCATGGCACAGGTCAAGAAAGGGTATTCACAGGGTCATGATGAGTTGTACTTGACAGCACCTAACAATAACAGATTCTGCATTTTAGCGTGTTAAAAAATAGTAAACACACACACACACCCCACCCTCTGCTAATGTGTCTTGCCTGGGTCTCTGGTCCAGCCTAGAATAAGAAATGCAGTTACGCCCCCTTGAGGGCATAGCTTGTGTCACTACCAGCCAGCACTTTTTTTGGATTTCATACCCTAGTGCTTATCTTGAACCTGGTTGGTTCCTAAGCCTTCCTCATCTGTGTCTCTACTTGGGGGAAATCATATTTTCAGACTGTTGCTCCTGGGATACAAGATAAGACTCGCCGTTGTCCATGTGATGTCAGATGCTTATTCCTGTTGGTCAAGGTGGCTGTGGTCATGTTGAACTTGTGTTTATGTTCTTTATTCCGGAACAGATCCTAGATGGAAAAAAAAAATTTTAAAATACTCAAGATGAGTTTATTTCAACATTTAAAATGGAAGAATTCATACATTTCCTACTGCTCTTTCTTGCTTCTTAGCTCTGAGCTTATCT